GGGAGCGAGCTTGGAGCAGTGGATACTTTACAAGAAATGCAGGAACCATGGGGAACAAAAGTAGCCACCCTCTAGAAGGAAGCACAGTGTTAGCACAAATTCAGAGTTGATTTGAGAATCGACAGTCGAGTGATACACAAAATAGTTATGATCTTCAACATCATAAATAAAAAATCTCTGATGGTCCCTTGACTCCTGTCATGGATAACCCAGAGTTCAGGCCAGGAGTAGAGGCACTAAGAATATTTATGTGGAGTAAGGCTAAACTGTACCCCATTTATTTGGCTAAACTGAGGATGGGTTGAAACCTTGCACTGAACTGATTGGGGAAGCAACTGAAAGGAGGGGACAATGAATGAGATACTTTCAACTCCAAGACTTTTATAATATAGTTCGGAATAGGGGGCAGCTACATAGGGAAATTACACCAATGGAAAAACTGTGCCTGAGAGATAGGACAGCGCAACATGTAGGTCATGTATATTATATTGCTGTCATCAGTAACTCCAAAGATACCATATTATTATATAAGAGTATGGGAAAGAGAACTGAATTGCAAGTTCTTGGATAGTGAACGGATAAAATCATATACATTGACACACAAGCTCTCGGTGGCAAGTAGACTACAGGAAGGGAACTTTAAAATGTTAACAAGGTGGTAGCGTTGCCCAGCCAAATTGAATGCAATTTTTCCACAGGTCTCTGGTAAATGCTGGAGATGTCAACAATCATTGGGGACAATGGAACATATATGGTGGGAGTGCCCTCGGATTAAACCTTTTGGACAAAGGTATTAAATGTTTGTGAGCATATATAAAAACAAGAACACACACCACAGATAGCATTTACTTTCCATTCTTCCAGGGGGGATTGCAACAGTAAAGAAGGGCCTCCTTTGTTTTTTCATAAGCGCAGCTAGGACAGTTATACCACGACATTGGAAATCAACAGAACCTCCAACACTGCGGGAATGGATGGAGGAGAAGTTTTTTTCAACAGAGAATGGAAGAACTTGGGGCTAAGATACAAGACAGGCTCCCTCAGTTTTTAGATACGTGGGATAGTTGGATTCAGAACTGTAAGACTGCTCAAATAGAAGAATTATCGGGAATAGAGCCTACATAAGGTTTAGAGCATGAAATATATAAATTAAAAAACAAAAGGCGTCAGCTTGTCCATCATTTGGGGGGTTTTTTTGCGGTTTTTGTAGTATGTTTTGTCTGTTGGGGTACTGGGGTAGTTTGCTAAGTTAGTAAAAAGATAGCCTCCCCAAGACTATGTAGTATGCTTCATTTCATTTCATTTCATATTTACTATATAAAATTATGAACTGTAAGCGATTGTAAGAACCTCAGGATAATGAATATTTTGTTCATGTTTGTATTGTTTTGTACTTTTTTTAAATCTGAAAAATGAATAAATACTTTAATTATGAAAAAAAAATAAAGATCGCTGAGGGCTACCCTCAATGTATCACTGGACCAGCTATATCACAGTTATAATAAATCTCATTATCGGTTGAAACCATATTTAATAAGACGTAATGAAAATATGTTCACATATTCACATATGTTTACAGAAGATGCTGGTACTTCCAGTGGAATAAGGATGACTTAACGCATTTCACAGGACACCCTTTTAGTCTGCTTCATCAGGAAACCCTCAGGAGATTTTAATATGTATTTAAAATATTGTAGCCCTCTTGTGAGGAAGCAGTATTGAATCCATGAATAATGAATGCCACTTTCTCAATCAACCCATGCTGAATGCAGTGTGATCAAAAGGACTATTTCACATGACTGAAGGAATTATAATGGTACTCTCATTGGAAGGGGATTGCTTATAAATGGCAGGGAAGTTATGAGAAGTATGGGGCTACAAAATTGTTCCGTTTACATTTTTTTCAAAAAAAAGTTGATGACAAATTTTACCTTTTATGAAATTGAATAAATACTGTTATTTTATTATATGTGTCTTCGGTGAGATTCTGAAGTACCTCAAAAGTCTGAAATCACCATTTTCTTGCTGTATTAGTATATACTATTGGGATGTGGTACCCTTAAAACAAAAACTGATACAGAGAGAGAGAGAGAGAGAGAGAGGCAGAAAACAATGGAAACAATGGGATCCAAGGCACAAATGAGTGATAAAACATTGCAGTCACAGCAATAAAACTTAAAGTGACATTAAACCCTCAGATTTTTTAACATAAAACAATACTGTAATGTGTGCCTTACCGTAATCCATGGTTGTTTCCCTTCTCTTTGCTGCTCTTCCTTTTAAATCTGTATCTGTTCTCATGCTGGGCAGAACTTCTGTTTTGCAGCAGACCATTAGAAAGCTAGGCTCTCCAACATGAAGGTCAGGTGTGCATATAGTGAATCCATGGATCCCAAACCTTAAGGAACTTCTTGTGTATGCTGGTGCGTACACTTGAAAACCTCTGACTTGTAACTAGTTTTATGTGTATAATATTAATATTGCCTCAGATTGCACAAAGAAGAACAGCTCTAATGAGGAGTATGAAAAATGTTAGAGCAAGACTACAAGAGGTTATTTCCACAGTCTGCTGTACATTCAGAGAAGGGAGAGCCCCTTTATACTGTATGTGAGAATTTCCTATTTATATACTGACTATAGTTAGCAGCAAGGAAACTACAAACATTTCAGTAAATAATAAATAGGTATTATGGAGTATGATATTTGACTGTAAATCCCAACTTTGGGACTGTAAATCCAAACCTCTGTTTGGTTGTTAATGCTATGTATCCTAAGCTGGTCATACACTGAACAAAATCTGTCCTGTTTTCCAGATGTTCTCCCTTGTGCTTTAAGCCTTTGGGTGGAATTTTTCATCTTGGGATCCTGGGTGGGAACGCGGTGTTCTATGGTTGAGTCTGTGGTACCTGTGATCTTCCCGGGACCTCTTGCTATTTTAATAGTTTTCTTGCTTACACTCCACCCACTGTGATATTCTACGTGCCACCTGCTTGCTGTGTACACAATTTTTTATTTTTTTTGGCTCTTTTTATTTATGTATTTATTTCTGTTACTCAACTGTTTTGGTGCTGTTGTTATCCGTCATGTATTGCGATAATGGAGAGTGTACTCTCTCATATTTATTGTATGCTTCTACCGTGTGCTGTTCCTCTCTTTTTATCTTCAATAACATTTCTAATATTTAAAAAACAAAAATGATGTCCTGTTTTGATGAACCGTTTGAAATTCACTTTATGGGTGGCCCTGTTGGGTGGCAACTTTCCATCCGAGATCCTTCAATTTAAAAATCGAAATAGCCAGGTGGAAAATTATTGACTGAACAGTGAGTGCAGCCAGTGACTGACCCCTGATGTCAGAATAAAATAGCCCAGCAGTGGAGAAGGAAAGGCGCACTCTGGTAATTTTTTTTTGTTTAATAAAAACACATTAGTTATATGGAATAAGTTTTCTTTTTATGTGTCCACATTTGAGAATTTACTCCCCAGACAAACTTTGTCAGTGTGTGTCACCAAGGTATGCAGGAAGTGAGAGAAAGGAGATGAGCAAAGGTGAATAAGAAACACAGAAAGCACTCAAGGTGTTTCCCACTGTTAGAAACTTAAACATCTACAGGTAAAAGCACAGAAAGCTCAGGTATTTTAACTGTTTACTTGAAGTGTTTTTTTCCTTTCCATAAATGATTTATGGGGAATAATAGAAGTGTCCATTTTGTTTATTTACTACTTTTGGCACCATCTTTTCCTCCATTATTTTATAGATAACCCCAAGTTTTCTTGCTGTAGGCAACATACAACAGTATTTTATAGAACAGGCCTGGTTAAATAACATGTTGGGTAACTTAAAAAATACAGTAAAAGCATAAAAATAAATAGCATCCATAAATTAGTTTTTATTCACTTGCAATGTGCTTTTGAATGTGCTAGAAAAACTGACTAGTCAACTCCTAGTTCCTTGCACGTCATAGCTCCTCTTCTGGCCATATCGAATTACTCTCTGTGCTGACCAAGCTCCTTACCCCCTCCCCTCCTTGCATAACCCTTATTTGTAGCTGCTGGGGGAGCAACGAAGGGCAATAGAGCAGCTGTGAGTGCCTTTTGAGTGATTGGGGGTGCAAACTCCAACAAGGTTGTTCTTGGTGGAACACCAGCTTTCTCACTCTCAGAGAAAGCGGTCGTATGGAGGAATGGGTCTACACCTGTGGTTCATGACAACCATAAACTAAGAAGGTAATTTGCCAGAGACTGCCACCTTCATTATGGGCCCTGTTCCCAAGCCATTTAATGCACAGTCCCAGTGGGAACAGGCAGATTCCATCCTTGTGGAGGATACGCAATCTAGTGCAGAGAAATCTTGTCATTGGAACAATAAAGACCATATCATCAGTTGAAAGCTGAGTTCTATTATAATGCTTGGAATTGGGTAACTAAAGCATGACTGCAATTTTATAGTAAAAAGCTATTTCTTCCAAGTGAACTATATACATTACCATTATCTGAATGGTAGGGTCTGTCTTCATTTACCAGCTGAGTAGTTACAGAATTGAAAAATGGAACCCAAAAGAAAGCTGCGGTGACTGACTACCTTTAGTGAATATATAGCCTGCAGCTAGTTCCACACATGTGCATGGGGTAACAACCTGCATTTTAACCTGGTACAGAAAGTGAGTTATCTCAACAACAGAAGGTGAAGGGTAATCCGCCAATGGTAAGCCTGGTCTGGTATCTGCTGTTTAAAAGGGGATAAGCTTGTATTCTTACTTGCTGTTGTGCTTTTGAAACAAGAAATGGAGGGAAATCTTCCTGACACAATGTTCTGTACACATACATTGTAAAGAGAGTAGCTAGTTTTGCCAGACTAGAAGAAAACTGCTTTTAAATGTTTGTTTTTTTCTGCGGTTGTAGATTGTAAAGGAAAAGTATTTTTCTATAAGATTCCATTGCAAATTGCCTTATGTAGAAATGATAATAGAGAAATTGTTTGCATTTACTTTCTTTTTTCAGATTGGCCGGCAGATTGTGGAGTTGCATTTTTCCAACAAAACACAGCAGGAAGGATTGTGTCTGGAAATGAAGTACGCCCGTTCTCCTGGCCTTGGCAGGTTTCCTTGCAGGTACAATGTTTATTGTCTGTTTTAGAGCATGATAAACATTTATGGTTAGGGTCTTCTGCAATGTGCTGAGCTCCCCATAGAGCTAATTTCCGAACTGACAAATGTACAGAATAAGAGTTTAGAAAAAGTAATTACTACTAATTATTTATAGTAAAGGGGACACTGGGAGGGGGCGTGGTGGTGCCATTCAGGTCAATGGCACCCAGCCACACCTCCTGCCCACAGAGCGATCGCCTGCAGCAGAATGCATGGCACAGCAATGCCTGCGGTCTGGTGCGATCACAAAAAATACTGCATGCATTGCTCCAGGCTGCGGGCATTGCTGTGCCACACTATCTGGTGAGGACGATCGCACTGTGAGCGGGAGGCATGGCTGCGGTGCCCCACCGCCATGCCCCCTCCAGCCCCAGAACACAGGAGACATTAATCATGCGATCAGTGCGTTCCACCCACTATCCGTGCTGGAACACACTGGATTAGGTGTTAACAAGCCCTTAAAGTGAAACTAAACTTTGGAGTTAAATCTTAGAAATGCTTATACTGTAGCCACTGCTCCAATTTCTCTCTCATGATGGACTACAATCTCACATTTAGTTTACATTTGTGAATGTATTGTTATTGTAGTATTCTGATTGTAGCCATGTTTCTGTGTTTGAAGATGATACTAAAATTTGGAGAGTAACAGACACGGACCTAGACAATATAGCATTACAGTAGGACCTGGATAAAATAGGGGAGTGGGCAACTATATATCAGATGAGGTTTAATGTTGAAAAATTTAAAGTAATACATTTTGGGGTTAAAAATAGGCAATAGAATACACATTAATGGGTACTCCACTAGGTAAGTCAAATAGAAAAAGATTTGGGGGTTATAGTAGACCACAGATTAAATAACAGCATGCAATCCCATGGGGATCCATGGGGAACACAAATAGCCACCCTACAGAAGGAAGGACAGTGTCAGCACCAGTTGAGAGATACTTTGAGGATCTACAGCTGAGTGATGCACAAATAAGGTACAGTATTGTTAACAGTTAAGGTACTTGAATGTATTTTGAAGATTTAACTCCTGAGTTTATTGTCACTTTAACAAGGCTTCTAACCTGTGTGCCAGAGATGATGATAGTTTCAGGACAACATGACCTATACAGCTTTATGTGCAAAGCTAGTTAGACCTACTGTATGTGTGCACAGTTTTAGTTCCAGCCAGTGTACTACCGGTTAGTTTTCCTAAATATTTTTGAATATAAAACTGAAAAATGTGCCATAATATCTACCTGCCAACTTGTACCCTTTTCCAAAAGAATCTCAACAGCTGGTTGTTTCTACAGCACATATAAAGTCAAATGGATATTTTTATTGCATGAAACTGGAAAAGTGTTTTAAATCTGACTAACAAAAGCAGAATTTGAAAATATTTGTAAGTTAGTCTAATAAAGGACAAATCATGAAATTAATAAATTGTTTTTTTTTATAAGGTTCGGTCTAGAGGAAGTAAGAGGTATGCTCACGTCTGCGGTGGGACTCTCATTCACAAGAATTGGGTTCTCACTGCAGCCCACTGCTTTCAGAAGTAAGTCTTTTCTTGCCATGCTTTAAATAATAGCCATAAACATTAACAGTATATGTATATGGGGAAGACCGGTGCTTAGCCAGTGCTGTATAGATAGCTATGGGTGTTTCTACTTTCAATCTCTATTTATTTATCCAATCCCTTCCTGAACCCCAATAACAGTAATAGATCCACATCCTGCAGAATGCAGCTTATCTTGCGATATGCTCACCCTCTCAGTAAGTGAACCTCCCCCCCCCCATTCAGTATTTACATTCTTACTGCATGTCAGTATGTTGTAGATCAAGAAGAGCAGTGTACCTTTTATTTAGAGGGTTCATCAAGAGAAAGGAACAAAGTAGCCAGGCCACTTCAGTGAGTGACTTTTATCATTTGAGAAAGTCTTTATATAGATAGATGTGGATGTCTTGAAGAAAATTACACATATTTATGAAAGTGAAAATCCATATAATCTCTCACTAGCTGGACCTTTTGAAGGGAGATGGGGAGCTCATCCAAAAAGTGGGCTGCTCTCTTTGGGCAGAAAAAACTATACCTTTGAATTGAGGCTACCCCCGCACTGCAAGGGTTAAATGCTCACTATGTCTTGGGGGCATAAATAAAGCAGATTTACTTAACTGATTCCAGCTCCTGCGGTGGTCAGCAGTCGCCTCTCTCCCCCTCCGCTCCGGTCATGGAATGTCTTTTGGCGTCCTTACATATAATGCAGTTCAGTGAACCTGCATAAGGTGTGATGACATCAGTGGTCCTTAGACCGCCAAAGGGAAGGAGAGAAGAGGCTGTGTTGACGGGTCTAACAGCCTGGAAGAAGCCAGCGTGACCAGGGATTGGGCAAGTAAAACAGCTTTATTTGAGTCCCTAGACAATACAAGCACTTATCCCTTGCAGTGCGGGGCTAGCCCCACTGCAAGGGTATGTTTTCTTTGTTTGCACAGAGTGTTTCCTTAAAACACAGTGAAAACATTTTGCGTAAATACATAAGCTGTCAGACATGAGGTAATAAATAGAGATCTTTGCTTGCTATCAACGTTTGTGTATCTCTAGTATTCAACCCTCCCCTTGGGTGGCTTTATTTCTGATACTGGGCCCTCTCTCCAAAGTTAAGAAAGGAATTCTGCATCAGTGCCTATTGGCAGCCAGAGTGGCTATCTCTAGACACTGAAAGTCCCCTCATCCTCTTGCCCTGGTTGAATGGTCACAGTTTTTGAATAATATCTATACAATGGAGACCCTGGTGGCGTCTGACCAGAATAGGAGTATGCAGGCCCTTGCAACCTGGTCTTGCTAGCTGGCTTTCAGAGATTCTCTGGAATTCAAGCAATTGGTCTGCCAGTATGGCGATCCACCATTTTTCCTAAATTGACCCTGAGAATGTGAGCATTCTTGGGTTTTGGAACTCCAGGAGTATGGGGGTTCATGAAATAAGTTGAGATGATCCTTCGGGGGAATGATGATAAGTTGATCCTTCGGGGGAATTAATTACAACTTTGTTCTCTCCCCTTCCACCAACCCCTAACCCACCATTTTTATTTTCCCCTCGCCAGTGTTTTAGACATGCTATGTTCTTAAATGCCTTTAACTGCCTCTATGGTTTCTACAGTATGCTTCCCATTTGGGTCTTGGGCTCGTTTCATACAGCCATTTCAACATGGACCTGAGACTTGTTTTTAAGATTCTCAAAGATACTTGAGCTTTACTTTGCTATGCCATTACTTTTTCTGTCAATATGCTTCTATTTGCAACTGACAATGTTTTGACTTTACAGTATGTTCTATTTTTGTATTCCTACAATGGCACATCCACTGGAATACAATAGCCACAGCGAGAGATTCATCTATGCATGAGAACTATGGGATCAGTGTTTTTCCCCATAGTTCTCCTTAGGGTAATGGGAGGACACAAACTAGCGTCCTCCCGTTACCCTAAGCTCAGTTTGCGCGAGCTACAGCTCCCGGTATACTGAGACGCCGCAGCCGGAGCGGTTCCCGACTTCGACGTTGAGAACCGCCCAGCTGCGTGAGTGACAGCTGGCTCTGCCTATCTAGAGGCAGAGCCAGCTGTACCCGCCCCCTCCCCGTCCGTTCCGCCAGTCATCGCTGGCAGATCGGAGCGGGGAGAGGGGAATCCAGCCCCTCCCCCTGTCACGGCCGTGACAGGATCGAGAGGTGAGCGAACCCGGTATGTGTTCGCTCACCTCCCGATCTACTGAGCCGACCTGTGACAGTCTCCTTGTCACAGGTCGGCTAGAACTATGAGGTGAGTGGAAATCACTCATCTCATAGTTCTCCTTTAAGCCTGCAGGCTGAATAAAAAAGAAAATCTAACAATGTATGGCCAGCTTTAGCTTTTTTCTATTGCTTCCTGTTTGCCCTCTGAATATTTACCTCACTTGCTGTCCCAGAGAATACATTGTCACCAGTACATGAAGTGAAGGAAAATCTCCACTGAACTAACGCTTGCATATGGTGAACAAATTTATTTTTAAAAAAAGTTGTGAGCTTCTTCCTTACCACTTCCTACTTTAACACATTGCTCAGAGTGAGATCAGCGTGAGGCAGAAATACAGATCAGTTAGTAAGGAGGTGTAAGAGGGTTGTAAATAGATTTCATTGATGTAGGACTGGGCACTAGATGTATCGTATAGAGGCTCTTTAAGTATCTGCCAGGTTATAGTCACTAGAAAGGGGTCAGAGAGGATTGTACTCCTGGTAGAGGATGTCTAAGGTCTCCTAGACTCTGCTGTTAGACCCAGTGGTAAAGGTTGGTTCATATCTTTTAAGGGATGGGTTTAAGACCTGTCCGTGCCAATACCTTGCATTGCATAACATTTTAGAAATGTTCTGCATTTTGGAAGCACTGACCTGTATTACCATTCGAGTCAACTGAATGAAAACGTCAGCTCAAGGAGCAATAACATTTTTGTGTGAGCCCAGCCTTAGTATGAGATTTACTTAGCAGCAACATGGTGGTTCTTTTAGAAAGCAGGCTTAAAGTGGACCTTGCAGCAAGATACAAGGTCTGCTTTCTTGATAGACTTCTGACCACCCCCTTCCCCCAGGGAAAACCACTGCATTCCAGGTTAAAAAAAAGAACTGAGCCCACTCTGGTTTCCTCCCATGGCGCTTAGGCAAAGGTGAGGTAACTCAAGATCTTGCCTGTGACATCACCCTCATCTTGATGTCATGGGCAGAAGCTGTGGTATAAGGTAAGTACATTTTAAATGTTTTTTTGTTGTTTTGTTTTACGATGAGTAGATGGGGGTCTAACATGGAAATGGAAATTGTATTTTGACGCAAGGTCCACTTTAAAGACCTCTTTAATAACTTTTGTATTACAAGGCAAGTGAAGCTGTACACCTTCTATTCAGGTAGTAGTCTCTTAGAAGGTTGTTTAAGAAGCTGCACTAACTGAACAAACTGAAGAGAGAAGCTGATTGGTTGCCCGGGGCATCTGCTCAAGATTTTTTTCTCCTCCAGTTTTGACCATTTCCCCTCACAGTATATTTTGTGAACTATGTGGTGTCTGCTATCCCAGCTGTCTTTTGCGAAATTACACTGACCCACCACCTAGTAAATTCTACAGCATGAACACTAATTTATCTGTAGACCCAAAATAAGAACTAGGGAGGCTAATTAGGCTCCTTGTGATAACACAGTATGTGTAGATAAGTTACAGGACACCTCTGAATTTCTGTAGATCAACTGGTATTTTTTTGTGCAAATAAATATGACAAAACAAAAATCTTTCAATGGTATGTTTAACAGACCAAAGGGAGCAAATAAGAGAAGATCATTGTTAGGGTTTATATACCTAGTTAGGGCGTGACCAAGCAACAGCAGCATTTCTGCAGATCTCTACAACTGCTTTGACTCCCACTGTGAACTATCCCTCACATGTACAACACAGAGGAAGAGACAAGAACCAACAAATTCTGGTCTTCACAGCCTCCAGTGGAGATTACATGGTGCCCACAGTCAGCTCCCAAGAACAGATGCTGACACAACCACCTTTGGACAAAGATCCCCTGAGGTCTCCTTCACCTTCAGAAAAGAGCCTGTCCAGCACTCACTCAATCACTTGAGATAGATGCTGACACAACCACCTTTGGACAAAGATCCCCTGAGGGGATCTCAATACTCTTCTTGATAAGCCAACTACCACTCAGATAGAGATTGACAGAGTTCACAGAATCAACACTCCATGGAGCTCAGAAAGGATCCAGCCCAGGGCTATCTTGTGTTGTATCCACTTCTTCACACATAAGGAAGAAATAATGCAAAGCTTGGAACAGGGGCACCATAAACCCCATTGACCTCCCAGATTGGACCACTGTGGAACTACCTGTCTATCACAGCATCAGCACAGAAACACAACTCACAAAGCAAATCCAGGCACTTTTCTATCTATCCAGTGGACAATGGGTCACGCCACCACAGTTTGCATTTCATGTCAGTCTAACATGGTATCAAATCTGAAACTTTGGTATTGTGGGACTCATTGCTTCAAAGCCATATCTTAATGACTTTTTCTCTATTTGCTTCACTCAAAGCAGAACGCTAGTTGCTCTGCATTTAGCTCTCTGGGAGTCGCATGTAGCTGTTGTCTGCAATGCGACAGACCACTAGTCGTTCCTGCTAAGATGCCTGATGTAACATGTTGACACGACTACCCACCTCTGGGACTCTATTGAAAGGGGGCCCCAGATTTTATTCTCAGGGGACACAAGTGACCTTACATTTCAACCGCAAGTGGACTCTATTGAAAGGGAATTCCTCATTAATAGGGGACTATTTGTACTCCCATATGGACAATGGGTACTCCCAATGAGTTTAAACGTTTATGCTTCCACCTACAATAGGTTTATTACTTTTGGAATCCCCACGGATTCAATGATATACAGAGATTATATGATCATTTTACCACCAGGGATCCAGCTTGTGTGGACCCTTGCCTAGACAAGTGTATCCTCTTCCTGCTTGTTCCGTTGTTCCACTGTTTTCACTGCTATTCATTACATCATGGGCTGGCACATCAGGCAGTGCAGGGCAGAGGTAATGACTGTTTCCAACACCCTTAGCAGTATTTGTAGATGTGACCCTATTGGCAGGTCACATCGAGAGACCATGCCTTTGCTCCCTTTGGTCGCAGCCTCTGACTGCTGTTCCTCATCAAGAGGTGCCTGGGGCTCCTCGTATCTTCATGAGCTTGTAATGTTCTTTATATTATTTGTTGTATTGCTTAAATAGTGTATTATAGTTATATAGGAATAAACTTTATAGAGGAATCACAGTTAAAACTAAAAAGGACATCTAAATATTACAAATCGTATACATTGTGGGGCTTAAGAATGCTGTCCATGATTTTTTGGAATGAAGCCAGGGCACCCATCTACGCTAAAAGGAAGGACCACATACTGGTACAGCCCATATGGTGTCACAAAAGCTGTCTTTTCTTTTGCCAATCTCCTTTGGTAAAATCAACGGCTGTAATGTACCTGGCAGGACCCAACCTTTCTATAAACTCATCTATTCAGGGAATGTGATAAGCTTCAAAGTTCATCCACACTCATCCAGCTCATCCACACTTTTGGGGTCTGTACCTTATGTCTAATGTGCCACTGTATCTTAGCAGGCAAGTTTCTGATGTAACGGTCGCAGACCACTTGCTCCAAAATCTGTGCAGGGTTAAGAACTTCCAGTTGCTATCACTTGTTTGCAAAGTGGGAAATGCACGAGACAGAGCTTCTTGTTTCAGAGGCCCAGCTGAAGTTACAGGTCAAGCACAATGCACACAAAAACAGCTGATCAAGCACAATGCTGTGCTTGATCAGCTGCATGGAAGATATTAGTAGTCTAATATACTCTGATGTCTCCATAAAGAGAACCTGTCAAAAAATAGAGTATAATACAATAGACTCAACAAAAAAAATATTTTTCTTCTTCTCAAAAGCAGCCTTGTCACCCAGTGAACACATACAAATGCAAACACACTGTAAACAGTGATTGCACCACACATGTTAGGTATTGCCGCAATCGCTTTAGTGAGGGCAATAATTATAGGGCTATCATTTGCTGTTAACCCTAGATTGATATGTTTTAAAGGGTTTTAAATTGTTGACTATGGACAGTAGCATTGCTTTTTATAGCATTGCTATCTAATATAATTATTGTAGCATTCATTTTCCTTTGCATCTGTTATTTAGGGGGAAGGCAGAAGATACCGCCAACTGGAGGATCGTCCTTGGGAAGCATAACCTCAACCATACAGAACCTACGGAAAAAATTTACGAAGTGAAGCGCATCTATAGACATGAACGCTTTCGCTATCCCAATTTGAATGAGCTGGACTATGACATCGCATTGGTCAAGCCTGTGGGGGACATACTGCCTACTCACTTTATACAGTATGCCTGCCTTCCCAAGAAAGAAATCACTCTAGGTCCAGGCCATTTCTGCTGGGTAACCGGATGGGGAGACACCAGAGGTAATCTGTTTATGTTAGAATATAGACTTGGGCTATTGTGTTTTTCTGCATGTCTGCAATGTTAAGTATAAAAGGACTATATTATACTTTTATTTGAGAACATTTTCCTGGACATCAATCTAAGAATTATAATAGGCCAACCGTGTGGGATTTCATTTTGTTGCTTCTCCTTTAACCCATATTATGTTATGGATTTTTGGACATTGTTTATAGATTTTTGCAGGGTTGTCCTGATATAATTTTTTTCAAGACCAAGTATAAGTACAAGTACTTTCCCTCAGGTACTTGCCGATACCAATTACCGATTTTCTTACAGGCACATGTGACATTTTTTCTTAAACAATATAGACTAATAATTTTAGGGCAGTTTCTTTATAATTATGAAGAACCGTAACTCAATCCACAATTACACTTGTCATGATACAAAGAATAACCTTAACCAAAACCGTATTTGACAGCGCTAAGAAGCGCTTCTCATTGGTCAGCACGGTCACCTGACTGACCAGACCAATGAGTGCTCGTAATTTCTGAGTGAAATTCTAAATCTATAGCGCAGGGCTGCACTGGACAGTAGTATGAGGTACAGATAGTACACCCGTACCAGCGGAGGGGAAGGACCGTTCACCAAAAGGTAAGTATAGCAGGAGGGAAAGTTGGCCAGATTTAAGAGGGTAATTCCAGTTTCCCAAATTACTTGGGAAAGTGAACTTACCCTTTAATGTGCTTTGTGCATGTTAGAGAGCGCTGCCCACTACCACAATATAGCACAAAGTAGAATGAAGGCAGCACTCAGCGCATACACAAACAATCCCCTATGCATGCGTTTATTCACACAAGATGTTTTTAATTTTAATTTATTTTATTATTTTTAATGTTTTACCTTTTTAGCAATTTTTAATTTTAATGTTATTATATTGTATTTTTGTATTATTTTGTATTGTTTTTTACCTTTTTAGCACTCTATTTTACCTTTTTAGCGCTTTTTTTTATTTTGTATTTTTTCAAATCTTTTTTACCTTTTTATTACTTTTTTATTTCATTATTTTGTATTTTATCACTTTATTTTTTTCCACTTCACTTTATTGGTATCACACAGGGACTAACAAGCCCCTATATGCTATCATTCGGAGGTGACAGGCTCTCTTTACGAGCCTGCTGTCCAATACAGAAGATACAGCACAGCATTGTGTTGTATCTTCTGTACAGCTCCGTTTGTGACAGCTGACACAGGAAGCACTGTAAATACAGCACTCCTGTGTCACTGATGATAGAGCAGAGCAGGGTAGGGATGTTCTTTGCTCTGCTCCCCGCTATCCATCCTGAACTACTTTGCCGTGGCCCCGGGTCTCACAGAAGAGCGGGAGAACCCGAAAACCACAGCGGGGAGGGGGCAGACCATGGGGGAGGACCTTGGTGGAGAGGGGCAGGCCTTGGAGAGTAGGGGCCGGTGGGGGGGATGGATGAGCAGGCTGCTATACATGTGACCTGGGCGGATCACTTGTACAAGCAGCCTGAACCTATTTAAACATTTAAAGCGCCGGCTCTATGTATCAGGCCATTTTTACGAGTACAAGTACTCATGAAATCGCCCTGTATCAGCCCCGATATCGATACTAGTATCGGTATCGGGACATCCTTAATTTTTTTACAAAAACTCTTGATTAAATATATTCCTTTAAAAGTCATAAAGAATTACAAATCCACTTGTGTGCACTTATTTCCTTTACAAACACAAATATTACCTTGTAAAGGTAGCAGTGACATCATCAATGTGCTACACATAGCCTGTGCAGACAACAGAGCTGAGGGAGGGACCCACCAGACCCCGCCCACAACAGGCTTCCTGCAGAGGGCGGGGGCGGATACAAGACCATCAACCCTGCACGCAGAGAGAGAATGGCAGTGACTGGTCTGAAAGAAATACACAAAGCACACCGAGATTCAAGTAAGATCACACATGTCTCTTGTTTTTAGACAATATTTGCTTATCTCAGAGTTCAGTTCCTGACTAATATGAGATACACAAATGAATGTAGTTCTTTATTCAATAATCATCCTTAAATATATGCTTTTAAATGCAAAAAGTGTACCTACCTGAATTTGACTTGGTACCAGCTTCTTGCAGTCCTTTTACAGCAGAGCCCAGACTAGGGGAGGGAGAAGCAGCACACGGTGCCGACCAGGTGTTCTGCAGTGCACGAACCAGCTAATAGAAGGACAGAACAGTGACAGAGAGATGAGCCAAGCAGTCTGATGCTTCTTCACAGACTGGGAGGGGGAAAAGGCTTGTAAATGTTATCGAGTTGCAGTAAAGAAAGATCACCCCCCCTCCTCTGGAAAAACAAACAGATGAGAGTTTCGATGCGCCGGACCTGATCGTTTCGTTTTGCGGGTAATCTGATATAAACAGACACAAGTCAATTTAAATCCAATTCCTGGTAATTTCATTTTTTTCTCCTCTGCAAGATGGAGTTAAAAACTAGACACACACAGATGTCCTGTTTTGATCAACAGGGGATAGTGCATGGATCACCGCCATCTCGGACTGTGTGCAAGGGGCCTAAACTTGACTGAACATTCATTATATGTGAAACCCGCTACTAACATTTTCCCTAAATATGTTTTTTTAAGAACTGCTCACATATAGTGTTAAACACTATTCCAAGTTATCAATCAGGTCATGAAAGTTGTGGATTTATTAGTAAGGTGGTGATTATCCCCCATTCTCCTTACTACAATAACTGTTAAAAGTACATTTCATTGGCTTAATAAAATAAAGTGGGGGGCATTTATCAAAACTGGGGCAGACAAAATCTGGAGCAGATTTGCACTGCAACTAATCAGCTTCTCTGTCTCATTTTCAAATCTTACCTGAGCAAACTGAAGAGAGATGCCGATTGGTTGCCATGGGCACCTGCTCCAGATTCTGTCCATTTTTGATAAATTCCCCCCTGTATATTTCTGCTTCCTGTATCAAAGGCCCTAACCTATATACTATTTGCTTCCCCCGCTTCTCTATTATGAGTAGACGAGTATTTACTTTAGTTTTCCCTTTAACCATTGGTAAACCCGATCAACGGAACTACTGTATGTTGCAGCACTATGGATATCCCTCTCAAATCTGCAGAAAAATGGGTATCTTTAAGAACTTTTGAAGTATTTTGGTTTTAAAATTGCTCCATGAGTACAATGGACCACCTGTGTGTTTATGTTTGGATTATGCAAACATGAAGGCTAGTAGAAAGAACAAAATGTAACTTTGAGTTCCTTATTTGCTTGGAACTAACACAAAGATTTTGATTTATTAAATAGACTGGAACTAAGACAAAAAATTTTATTTAATTTCACATCTATTTGCCTAAAGGTGGAAAAGAAAACCTGACACTGTCAGAAGTGCTTAACCAAGCCAAGTTGCCCATCATTGACAACAAGACTTGCAAGCAGAAAAAATTCTGGGGAGAAAGAGTTCGGGAGTCAATGATTTGTGCAGGTTTCCGAGACATTGGAGGACCTCCTGCTGCTTGCCAGGTAACTAAATATGACTTTTAGACTGCTGGACCAATTTTATTCTTTAAATATTTTCACTCACGTTTATAGATTTGTTTTCATAGCAGATCTGTCTGTAGAGTGGAGTTGATGTTGATTTAAGGTGGATATTTGGATAATTATTATGACTCATACAGATTAGAACATTTAGTACATCCCTACATTGGTTAACTATTATTATTATTATGTAATTATAATAAATCATAAATGGATAAATGCAAGATGAAGATCAGAACACCCAAAGTTTTGCTTACGTTTCAAACATTGTTGTTTGGACCTGCAAAGAGTATCCATATATTAGAGATACATATCACTGTCCTCTTTACAACACTCAGCAGCATTAAAGCATATCTAAACCCAAAAAGAAAAATGTAATTTCCTGGCTTTGCATCATATCGGCACAGAACAGGTCAGCTCTTCCCTCCAACCCTATAGGACAGTCCCTACGAGGTCAATAAAGGAAAGAGCTTCCTCTAGTAAGTGTTTTTCTTTTCTCCTCGCTCTGAGCTTTCTATATGTAGTTTCTTTTTTTTTTGTGTATATGTCCCCTTCAGCCTTCCCGGGTTCCGTCTCTGATAGATGATCCTCTGGTTGGTGGTAAATGTTCCTAAAAAAAAAAAAGGCTGCTCCTTTGCACAAAGTGCATATAGGGTACAGGAGATGGGCACGGGCAAGGGTTAACTGCTCGTTTTTCTCTAGGTGACCGATTAAAGAAGAAATGCTCAATTGAGCCTCAATCCTGCAGCAGTGACCACTTACCTCTCTCCCCCTACACTCTGGTGGTGAAATGTCCCTCAGTGACCTCAGGTCTAATACACTGTTTTAGACACGCTGACTCATTGATCATTAGACTGCCTGAGCCCGGGGTAGGAGAGACTGCTGGGACCGGTCCAGCATCAGCAGGGGCAACATTGCTAGAAGTAGATATATGCAAAGAAAAATGGAGACTTTAATTCTACTTTAAGAGTCCATGTTTATGATCGTTACTATTAGTTACTATCGGCTTAAGTTCAGCTCCAAGAACCTTTTCAAAAGTGGGACTTACCACATTTTGAATAAATAGATGAATCCAGCTTATCCCAAGATTAGAAATGGCAGCTCCCATTGAAATATATTTTTCTTATGGCAGTAGTCTTAGTTAGGCGTTTGTTGGAGTTGACTGTTTTCTTGTGCAAGGAGAACTACTGTGCTTTTTTTACTGGATAGAGTGATTTGAGACCTTCTCCGAATTTCTTGCCCAGTAACCTAGGAAATTAACTTCCTTCAGAAAACACTCTTTTTGCCTTTCCATCCTCATCCTCTAATTCTGAAGAGCCATTTTGGAGTAAACTGGACATAAAAACCCAGACCAGAGTCTGGGGTTATAAGGGAGATATCCACATCAATAGTCAAGACAATATGAATTGTCTACCCAAAATAAAGTCTTCCCCTTCATGAGGAAATAAAGGTGCATTCAACCAAGGCAGTAGCATCATCCTGGGCAGCAGGTCGAAGGTATAGACAGATGTGGTTTGTAAAGCGGCAACTGGAGTACTCCCAACATTTTTATCCACCACTATAAACTGGATGTGGCTTCAGACCCTAAACAAGTGATGGGCACATCAGTCCACTCTGCTGCCCTGGCACAGCATTAAACCTTTGAGCAGAATTCTTGTGTGAATGGTGTTTTTTTTTCATCCCTAGTTAGGCCATTACTAATTAAGTACTATTGTGTGCTGACATGACACAGAGCCAGGCAAACCAAATTTTTTATCATATACTTACTGTAATTTTTAATTTCCTGGCTCATTATGTCAGCACTAAACCCTCCCTGTTCTATCACAGGTTTAGTCATGAAAGGCCAATGATGCTCCTTCAATGTATTTATCTAGATAGGGGAGTGGAGCTGACCTGCTGTGTGCTGACATGAAGCTGAGCCAGGAAAGGAAAATTACTATTTCCCGTAATATTGCAGCTTATTAGTCCTTAGATGTAGTGTCTGCATTAGTTTGTTCAAATGTTGTTGCTTTATTTACACCTAGCAACCCTGGGTTTGGATATAATCTAATGCAGCAAACAATACATAGAAGATATTTGGACTTTTATCTCTCTTCCTTTAAACTCAAAGCTAAAAAAGCAGCTTTGCTGCGCCCCAATGTGAATTTTCCCAGAGTGCCAAGAAAACTCAAAATATTTCTATGAGCTAGACTACTCTTATCTCCCTCATTATAGTACTGGTATTAAATCACTGGCACGTTGCATTTAGAAATCTGTGGACCACGAGGTGAGTGCAAATACCATCAACCTCATTTACACAGATAAGGCATTGGTGGAGTTCTTCTTTAAATATACATTCAAATGTTTTCTAAATGACAGAATAGGGTAATTAGAGTTTCTTCCATAATTCATTTGAGTCATGGTGGAATTAATCATGAACAAAACAGTATTTCCTTACATACAATTTTGAAATTTACTACAGAAACACCAATAAATCACAATTTATAAATAAGTCACCAGTTGTCGTATTTGTTTCTTCAAAAGTGATCATAACATTCTAATCTCTGTGACCATTTGAGCTTAATAAAATTGAAACTCCATCAAAATGTTTAGTAAATTGACTTTATATTGACAAATTTATTTTTGTGCAGTCCAGACTGGGAAACATTTACTATAATCAGTATTCCTACCACCACCAAACTAATGTCTATTTGCCTAATTCTTAAAGGAGAACTATGGGGTTAAAGGAGAACTATGAGGTGAGTGCTTTTCACTCACCTCATGTGACAATGAGACTGTCACAGGTCGGCTCAGTAGATCGGGAGGTGAGCGAACACATACACTGCGTTCGCTCCCCTCTCGATACTGTCACGGCTCTCTACCATGACAGGGGCGGGATTCCCCCCTCCCCGATCCGCCAGTGCTGACTGGCGGAACGGACGGGGAGGGGGCGGGTACAGCTGGCTCTGCCTCTAGATAGGCAGAGCCAGCTGTCAGTCACGCAGCTGGGCGGTTTCCGGCATAATTGTCGGGATTCACTTCAGCTGCAGCGTCCTGCAGCAGCAGCTCGCGGTATACTGTGGCGTCTCAGTATACCGCGAGCTACAGCTCGCGGTATACTGAGCCTAGGGTGACGGGAGGACGCTAGTTTGTGTCCTCCCGTCACCCTAAGGAGAACTATGGGGAAAAGCCTTAACCCCATAGTTCTCCATTAAGGCTTTTCCCCATAGTTCTCCATAGGGTAACATCCACGAGTAACATAAAATAGCCAAACTAAATGCAAACAGCAGAGTCACACACAGAGTATAACAGGGCAAGTTAACCTGGGGAGCAGGGCAACAAGAGGGGAGCCATAGATCAAGAGACCTCAGGGGAAGGAGTCAGGATCCATGGAGGCAACAGGATACAGGCAACAGGATACAGGTTATGGCGACAATACTGAGGCACCAGCCTCACTGTGAGAAGGGGCTAAATACCCTCCCAGGCCAACACCAGGTGGAGACTAATTGTCGACAGCTTGGAGACACCTGCAGGTGAGCAAAGGAACTGCATGACCATGCACATTTGATTGTGTTTAATAAGTACACTAGGGATTACTTAGAATAATTTAGTTGAACATCGGGTGGTATATCAGTTTCACAGCGCAGTGTAAATCACATTATATACATGTAGTCCAGGGGACATGGCAGAGTGACCGGGAGATTTATTGTACCTGTGACTACAGGGCAAGGATTGTTGTGATTGCTAAAGAAATCTGTTATTTGTCACGTCCTACATTGTAGTTTCCACTGTACACGGCAGTCTGGTGGCCATTTAAAAAAAAACATGTGGCGCCTGAGAGGACCACTAAAATAAAGTAAGTTTTTGTGTTTATATCCAGGATCTGCATACGCCGGCATCATCTACACACCGTGTACATTGCTGGCATATGTTGTTTTTTTTTTAAATGCCCCCGCAAAGGTGAAAATGTCCTTTAAAACCAACTATTTGGTTGAGAAGGAGTAAGGAGGAGGGGGAAAAAAAAAGAAAAACTGTTAACGATATTGGGGAATAAATGAATGGCTGTTTTGTTTGTTTGTTTGTGTGTCTATGATGATAATTGTAAAATCAAATAAAAGACTTTGAAGTAAAACCAACTATTTGGTTGAGAAGAAGTAAGGAGGAGGGTGGAAAAAAAGAAAAAAAGAAAAACTGTTAACGATATTGGGGAATAAATGAATGGCTGTTTTGTTTGTTTTGTTTGTGTGTCTATGATGATAATTGTAAAAACAAATAAAAGACTTTGAAGTAAAACCAACTATTTGCAAGCCTATTAGAGCACCTTTAGAGCACATAGTAAATGGCAAGGTTAACATTCTCTTAAATCTTCCATCAGCAAACTCATTGTTGGAAAGAATGAAGGTAAAATCTAGGAAAGAACCTCTGCCGATTTGCTGGTGGTTTTAAAAGGGTTTGAACACGACTTAAAGGGTTATTAAACCCTCCAGTTTTTTTTTGCATATATCTACTGCTAACAAGCAAAAGAAAAAACGCATTAAAAAGGGTTAATACTTACCTGTGTCTTCCCCGTGCGCTCCTGTCTGAAAATGTGAAATTTCGCGGGCAGTCGCAAAGCATCTTGGGGCGGGCGCATGCGCAGTTCACATTTTCGGCCGGGACGCGAGGAGAGACACAAGGTAAGTCTATAGACGCGTGCACGCAGACAACGTGGGACAGGAAGTGCCAGCAAGCTCAGAGAAGTCAGCGCTGGATCAGAGGCCCGCCTCAGTGCTGGAGGGACAGATGTAAATGACAGATGAAAATGACAGGAAAGAAGAAGAAGATCGAATTAAGAAACATCATTTAAGGTAAGTGCTTTAATTAAAGGGGTTCTAAACCCTCCGTTTTTTTTGCCTATATCTACTGCTAGCATGCAGTAGATATAGGCAAGAAGTGTAAAAAAAAATAAAAACAGCTTAAAATCCTTTTAAACTTACCTCGTTATCGCCGCTCGTTCCCGCGCCGAGAATAAGAGCATTTGTCCTAAATGTGCCTATTATTAATAACTTTGGCATGTTGAAGAACTAGACACTGTATGCAAGCACACACAATCACAACTCTAAACTCTGGTCGCTGAAATCAGGAGAAATTATCAACAAAGAATGATGGATGCTTGATCTTTTACTGTGACGCTTGTTACAAGGACATTCCACCGTTTAAAGTGACACTAAACTCAGGAATTTCATCATAAACATACATTCAAGTACTCTATTAACAAAAATGTATCTTATTTGTGTATCACTCGGCTGTAGATCCTCAAATCATCTCTGAATTCATGCTGACACTGTTCTTCCTCCTGGAGGATGGCTACTTTTGTTCCCCATGGTCCCTGTGTGTCTTGTAAAGTAGCCACCGCTCCAAGCTCGCTCCTGTGATGGACTATAATTTCAGTACAAATTAGTAAACTAAATATGAGATTGTAGTTCATGTAGTCCATCACGGGAGCAAGCTTGGAGTGGTGGCTACTTTACAACACACATTGGGACCATGGGGAACAAACGTAGCCGTATCACATTCATGCTGTTATGTTAGTAGGCTTATTCAGCAGCCTGAATCAAAACTCTGTGTATCCAGTTATTATGTGGAAAGGTATTATTTATATAT